AAAGAGTGTAAGAGAGAGGGAGGGAGGGAGAAGTTATGAATGACTCTTAAGGTTTTTTGGTCTGAGAATTTGGTATGAATGGAGTTCTATATACTGATATGGATGGGGGAAACTGGGGGAAAGTAGGTTTTGAGGATATATTAGGAGCTCATCGTTGAAATATGTAGTTTGAAATGCTCTTTGGACATCCAGATGGGGATGTCAGGTGGGTTTGATGTATAATGAGTACAATTCCGGATTTTGGGAGAGGTTTAAACTGGACATAAATTGGAAATTTAAGAGCTGTCAGCCTCTGGATGGGACTAAATCTTACCCATGGAACTGGATGTCGTCAAGGCAGCAAGCATAGATATGAAAGGAAGCTCAGAGATTGAGCTCTGCAGCTCCAGCATTTCCAGAATGGGAAGATGAGAAAGAACCAGTAAAGGGGACTAGAACGAGAAGCTGGAGAAGTGGAAGGAAAACCAGGAGTGTGTGTTTCCTGGCAGCAAAGTGAAAAAAGGGTTTCAGGATCAGCTGTATAAAATGGTGCTGATGAGCCAAGTAAAGTCAAGCTGCAAATTGATTTCTGGACTTGGCACTGTGGAGTTCATTGCTGACCTTGATAAAAGCAGTTTTGTGGGCAGCAGTGAGAATGGGAGAAAAGAAATTGAAGATAGCAAGTCTGCACTCTGGAGGAGTTTTGCTGAATAGGTAAGGAAAGAAACTGGTATTTGGAGGGGAAAGTGGAGTCAAGAGACTTTTTAAGCTAAAGAAAGTAACAGATGTTAGTATGCCAACAGGAATGATCTAGTAGAGAGAGAAAAATTGATGATGCAGGAGAGATAAGAAGGTTGCTGGAGTGATAGCCTGTGTAGGCAAGAAGGGATGGGATGCAGTGCCCAGTGGAAGAACTGCTTGGCCAGGATCACAGACAGTTTACCCATAGCAGCAGGGGAGAAGTCAGGGCACAGAAGCAGGCAGATATTAGGTTAAATAACTAGCATATCAAACCTGTTGTTTCATGAATGCTATTGCAGAGTGGAGAAAAATATTAAGTAAATAATAGTAGGAGTGGTATGCAGATAAAGTACAAGTGAATATCACACTTCAGTGACTGAATTTTGGAAAACACTATTATTATAAGCAGTGGTCAGGAGTATGTGTGTGACTGAGTGCAGGGAGAGAATTTGGGAGATTGTTATTTATTTTCTGGGTAAGAAATGAAGATCTGAGCTGTGAAGTGGTTGTGGAGGTGGAGAGAAGGAACACACATGAATGAAATTCAGGTTGTAGCGTTGATAAGACTTGGAGATTAGTCATGGGGAGTAAAAGAAGGCTCTCTGTTTTCTGACGTGGGGCTGAGGAGAGGAATTCCCAGACACAGCAATGGATGTGACACCTTCAACGAAGAGGAGCAGGTCTGGGGCCAAAATTTTATTCTTTTGGATGCAGAGATGAGGGAAAGGTCTGAGTCACAGCTGGCTTCCCAAGCCTGCAGTAAGAACCAGGGCCCATTGGATGTGCTGAGGGGGAACTGATAAAATCCAGCGAGACAGATTAGGCAGGCCCTGCCCTGGGAGAGCTCCTCCTTTGGGGTGGCAGAAGCATTTAGACAGTGCTGGAGAAGGAATGAAGCTTTGGATATTGAAAGCTTCCGAAGAAGATGACCTTGAAGGTTTATGGGATGCTGGCAGATGAGGGAGGGAGAGCGAGCACAGATTGTGCTGGGGAATGGTAGGGGGCAAGTGGGGTCTGCAGGCAAGGATGGAAGGCTGGAGCCTGGAATGCTTTGATTGCAGTATTAGTCTGGCTTAAGCTTGATAGGCAGGACTAGGAATGGTGTGTGGTGGTAAAGCTCTGAGGTTAATATGTATCTAGGGTGGGGCTGATGCGGGGGAACGGATTTAGTTTGGGGCAGAGCACTCCCAACCCCTGTGATTGCCCTCATCATCTTTCCCAATACCCACAGGCAACAAGACCTGTACCGAATCCTGAAGGCCTACACTATCTACCGGCCCGATGAGGGCTACTGCCAGGCCCAGGCCCCTGTGGCCGCAGTGCTGCTCATGCACATGCCTGCTGAGGTCAGCATGCTCTGGTCCTGGTTGGGTAGGGGCTGGGAGAGCCTTGGCATACAGTGGTGGTGGGGGAGCTCTCCGCCGTTTCTCAGGCCCCATCCCTCCTTCCTTGTTCTTGTCCTTCTCAGCAAGCCTTTTGGTGCCTGGTGCAGATCTGCGACAAGTACCTCCCCGGTTACTACAGTGCAGGGCTGGTGAGTGTCTAGGGCTGTGACTTTTCCCCAAGGCCACAGGGAGGTCTTTGTCCTACCCTCTGTCCTCTGTCCCTCTCCTGCAGATCTCTCCCACTGAGGTGAGAATCCCCTGCTAGATCCAGTTCTACCCCAAGGGAGCCATAGTAGGTCTCTTCTCATGGCTTTTTCCACCTCTAGGAGGCCATTCAGCTGGACGGAGAAATCTTTTTTGCACTGTTGCGCCGGGCCTCCCCACTGGCACACCGGCACCTGCGGCGGCAGCGCATTGACCCCGTGCTCTACATGACAGAGTGGTTCATGTGCATCTTTGCCCGTACCCTGCCCTGGGCTTCAGTGCTGCGCGTCTGGGATATGTTCTTCTGTGAAGGTACTTCTGTAGTCTTTCAGGCCATGAGGGGGCTGGGGTTTCCATGTGCTTGCCAGTGGGCAGCATGCTGACAGAAGTTGCTTCTTGAGTTTGGGGGCTGGAGAAACTGAGACCTGGTCTTGGCTCTGCCACCAACCCAGAGCCTGTTCTCCCTCTCCGGAACCTGAAACCCATGGCAGCTTGTCTCCCTTTCGGGGCCTCAGTATCTTCATCTGTAAGATTGGCAATAGACAAGGATAGGGGCTGTGAGTCACTCCTAAAGGGGACAGGCTGAGATTGCAGGCCCGGTTACCTGTGATGTCTTCTCTCTGGCCCTGCAGGCGTCAAGATCATCTTCCGGGTGGCCCTGGTGCTGTTGCGGCACACGCTGGGCTCAGTGGAAAAGCTGCGCTCCTGCCAAGGCATGTATGAAACCATGGAGCAGCTGCGCAACCTGCCCCAGCAGTGCATGCAGGAGGACTTCCTGGTTCATGAGGTAGGCCCTGGCACACCCCACACCTGCTTCAGGCCATCCCCATCTTCATCTGCATTCTGATACTCGTTTCTCTATCTAGGTGACTAACCTCCCAGTAACAGAAGCACTGATAGAGCGAGAGAACACAGCCCAGCTCAAGAAATGGCGGGAAACCCGGGGGGAGCTACAGTATCGGCCCTCACGACGACTGCACGGCTCCCGGGCCATCCATGAGGAGCGCCGGCGGCAGCAGCCACCTCTGGGTCCCTCCTCCAGCCTCCTCAGCCTCCCTGGCCTCAAGAGTCGAGGCTCCCGGGCAGCTGGAGGGGCCTCCTCTCCACCCCCTCTTGCTCGCAGGGCCAGTGTTGGGCCTGCCCCAGGGCCAGTGGTCACCGCTGAGGGACTGCATCCATCCCTTCCTTCGCCTACTGGAAATAGCACCCCACTGGGTCCCAGCAAGGAGACCCGGAGGCAGGAGAAGGAACGGCAGAAACAGGAAAAGGGACGTGACAAGGAGCGACAGAAACAGGAGAAAGAGAGGGAGAAGCAGGAGAAGGAGCGGCAGAAATGGGAAAAAGAGCAGGAGAAGGAACAGCAGAAGCAGGAGAAGGAACGGCAAAAGCAGGAGAAGGAACGGCAGAAGCTGGAGAAGGAGCAACAGAAGCAGGAGAAGAAGGCCCAAGGCAGGAAGCTTTCACTGCGTCGAAAGGCAGATGGGCCCTCGGCTCCCCAGGATGGTGGGAACAGGTCTTCGGCATCTGAGGCCCGGCAGGACGCTTACTTCTGACCTCTGCCCTGGGACTGGATGGCATGGCCCCCCCTTTTCCCCTCAGCCAAAAGCAGGCCCCTCAGCTGGCTGTCCCTCTTTCTGAGGAAAGTGGCTTGGTTTCTCATCTGCTTGCCAGCTGTTGATTCCTACACAGTCAGGACAGTCAGAGTGCATGGGGTGGCTGCATTTCCCTGGGATAGCCGTTGAACAAGTCTGGAACCCCTCACCTCCACTTAGGCCCTGCTGGGGTCTCTGTCACTTCTGCCCAGTTCTCTGTGGGGTCCCTTCCCAGGTGCTGTCCTGATTGGCCTTTTGTCACCACAGGGGTGTCTCTTGGCGATGAGAGTCAGCAGTTTTCAGATTCTTACACTCCAGTTACTCCCCTTATCCATGAAATGGAGCTGGGTTCCTTTTTCCCTTTTTCAGTCCTGCCTGTCTCTTCCACTTCCTGGCTGGGGGTGAAGGCCCTCCTTGTTCAACTTCTGGACATCTCTGTATTGTAATTATGTACAGAGGACCTGGTTGGCCCAGGATAGGGGAGTTCGCTCTATCTTCTATCCTTTGGTTCTTCCACAATGTTCTTGCACTCTAGTTTATTTAATGGGACATGCACTGGAACAGGAAATGTCCCCCACTTCCTCACATACCACCATTCTCCTTGCTTTCTCCCTCTTCACCTACCTTCCCCTGCTTTGTCGCACCAGGGTCCCCACCTTTCATCTTATTCCCTTCCAACCCTCTGGCCCCTCTCTGGGAGGGGGTCTTCCCTTAAGCTCCAGGGGGTGGAACCCAATGTTTACATTCTCTCCTGTCTCTGCCCCCACCCAATATGGCCTTTGAGGAACCAGAAAAGAACCCACTGTTGTAGCTGGGCCTGTCTCCTGCCTTGTTATTTGATGAAAGGGGTTAGAAGGACTGGGGAGGGAGGGAACAACTAATGAGCCAAGATTTATTGAAGCAGCCTGCAGGTTTTGGCAGGTAGGTACCTCTTGGCCTTTGGCACATCTTGCAGTCACTCATCAACAGTTGTCGAGATCCTGCTTCATATTTGCCTGGGATATGCTGCTTCCATTGTCAGTGGCCTCCTGAAGCCCTCTACGTATCTCCTTCCCAAAGCATCCATGCAACTCCTGGAAGCCGGAGACGGGAGACAGGGTGGCTAAAAAGCTACAGTCCTGGGGGTGGGGGGAGGGAAGCTGGGCTCTTGGCCAGCTGCTTGGTACAGCGCCAGTTCTGGGCCTCCAGGGACAGTAGGAGCACAACTAGCACCCACATCCAGCTTCCCAGCTCCTGGTTTTCTGCTGCCAGCTTGTAATCCTGCTCACCCTCTGTGCCCTCCACCCGTGAGGGTAAAGGCAGGTCTGTGGCTCTGAGGCATGGCTCCATCTGGCAGTTCAACAGGGTGAGGCCCAGGGTGCTCTTGGTAGAAGAGGTTTCCTGTTTCCCCAGAGGATGAACCAATGGTACTGGTAGCTGGTATTTCTGGACCCCTTCTTTAGCAAGATGTCCTCTGGGTCTGGAGCCTGTGTTCTGTGCCCACAGAAGAAACAGCATGCACTTTCCGTGCAGTTTCATGGTACTCCAATCTGGGAGAAAACACTGCCGGCAAGGAAAGAGGAGGGGTGGTCTATCTTGTGACCCCGGGGACCTCTATGCGGTCCTCCTATAGTTCCATTAGGCTCTGGGCACAGCCTTCGCCTAATGGGATTCAGCTTCTGAGTGTCCTCAAGGGCTAGAGGTCTTGTCCCCAAACCACTGGGACCCACTCTGTCCACCTCCATGCTCCAGCTCTGCCTCTTGGGCCAAATTACAGAACCTGGGCAGGGGCCACTTGGCTGGGGCCCTGTTTGATGAGGGGCTTTGTGAGAGGCTCTGCTGCCTTTTTCCAGTCCAGAGGTCAAAACACAAGGAGCTACTGGACTGGATACTGGGCACAGGTGTCACTGCCACTTCTGTGATGGCTCTTCCAGCCTCAGAAACCAGGAACTCGCCTGGGGATGGAGTGGGGGTGTAAACGACTTCCCCTGGGTCCTAAAGGAAGCTGGGTTTGGAAAGTGCCCCTGGAATGGTCAGCGGACTCCCGGCTGGCCATCAGGGAAAAGAGAAAGGGTGCACCTCGTACTAATTGAGGGCAGACAACTAGATGCCGAGAGTGGGAGGGCAAGAGTTCTACTGAGATGGTGAGGGTTGCATAGCCCTTGACCAGCCCTGGGGAAAGGTATGCAACCGTGGAAAAGGAAACTAAGGCAAGAATCTACTGGCCCTATTCGCATTTTGCCTTCCATCATGATCCTGGGTGCCCCTTAAGTAGAGTGCGCTCCACTCTTCCAGAGTCTCTACTGCAGTGAGAGGGACTCAAAACCACTTCCCGCCATCCCTCTCGTCCGAAGACGGTCTAGGCGTTCACATATCCCCTTTTCTGGCCGCTGTCGCCCCACACAGCTCACGTCACTTCTGGGGCTGGGCGGTGTCTCCCCGGCTCATCACGTACTTCCGCCTGCCGTTCAAGTTAGTCCTCTAACCAGAGTGAAGCAACTTCCGGCCTTCAGGGCGCCTTCCTCAGTTCTCTTCCGGGTGATGGCGGCCCGGTGCCCCGGATGTAGGCTTGGCGAAAGCATCGCTTCTTCCCCCGCCTGCCTTGGACTCGTAGGTGAGCGCTTACCGGTGGGACTGGTCGAATCCTTGTGGCTTTGCCGCCTCTCTTATTTGTACTCATAGTCCGGGACAGCTGGGGTCACCCCGCGGAATTGGGAGTTTGGCGCAGGGTGGCCAGGACACGAGGTCCTGTGTCCGCCCGAGCCTCACGGGCTCTGAGGGAACTGGCAGTGGAGGAGTGGGTATCAGCCTGAAGACCTGCTTGGCGCCCAGGACTTTGGGGACCTGGAATGGGGCTGGTCACGTGGGGGAACCGGTCTCCTTTCATCAAGGGTGGGGGTGCTCGTGGGGGGCTCCTCCGCACGCCCACCTCTAAGACCTTGCTCCAGCAACTCTTTCGGATACCAAACCAGGTCCCAGGGGCCCGTTGGCTGCCAACTCCTCTTTCAGCCCCTGAATCTGCCCTCCCTCTCCTCCCATACGAGATCTAGTACATACCAGGGGAAATGTTTGTTGTGCTGGGGGCCCTCTCGCGGTGAGTTTTTTTAATCTGCACCCTTTCCCTCGGTTCAGCTTGGTGAAGGCCCCTCTGTCCAGTTATGTCAAAGAGGAAAGTGACCTTCCAAGGCTTGGGAAATGAGGATGATGAAGACGAAATCAGTGTCCCCAAGAAGAAGGTGAGGGGGCCAGATTCCTGCATTCTGGGAAGAAGAGAGAGAAAAAAGGAACTAGGAGCCAGCAGAGGGAAAAGGTTGGGGGAACAAAGAAAGGATACAAGGAGCTAGCTTTTGAATTTTCAGTTTGAGTCCAGATCCTAGAGCATTTTGAGGACTAGCCAGTAACCTGCATCTCTCAACTGGCTGGCTTCTGTTCACAGCTGGTGGACTCTGTGGCTGGGGCAGGAGGTCCTGGGAGCCGCTTTAAAGGCAAGCACTCTTTGGACAGCGATGAGGAGGATGATGATGATGAGGGGTCCAGCAAATATGACATCCTGGCCTCAGAGGATGTAGAAGGTAAGCTGTACCCAAGAATTGACTCTTTGCGGGGGGGGGGGGGGGGGGCGATATAAACAGGGGCTTCTGGGAATGTGGGCAAGGGAGGCCCCTGTCTCTTTTTCGCATGCCTAGCAGGGGATGCCTGTGTTTTTCGTGCAGGTCAGGAAGCAGCCACACTCCCCAGCGAGGGAGGGGTACGGATCACACCCTTCAACCTACAGGAAGAGATGGAGGAAGGCCACTTTGATGCTGATGGCAACTACTTCTTGAACCGGGAGGCTCAGATACGAGACAGCTGGCTAGACAACATTGACTGGGTGTGGTTCAGGGGCTGGCATGGTTGGGGCCTGGAGGCAGCAAGTGCTTGGACTCTTCTGACAGTTTGTAGAAAATAAACCTTCCTGTTTTCACATTACAGGTTAAGATCAGGGAGCGGCCACCTGATCAGCACCCACCATCAGACTCAGAGGAGGAGGACAGCCTGGGCCAGACACCAATGAGTGCCCAAGCCCTCCTGGAGGGCCTTCTGGAGCTGCTGTTGCCGAGAGAGACAGTGGCTGGGGCGCTGAGGCGCCTAGGGGCCAGAGGAGGAGGCAAAGATGGCAGCAAGGGGCCTAGGCGGCCTAGTTCCCCCCAGCGCTTGGACCGGCTCTCCGGGTTGGCTGACCAAATGGTGGCCCGGGGCAACCTTGGTGTATATCAGGAGACAAGGGAACGGTTGGCCATGCGGCTGAAGGGGTTGGGGTGCCGGACCCAGGGACACCCTGACCCCAAGCCCCCACCTTCTCTGGACATGTTTGCTGAGGAAGTGGCAGAGGGGGAGCTGGAGACCCCAACCCCTGCCCAGAGAGGTGAGACTGAAGGGCAGAGGAGGAGTGTTGCAGACAGGGGCAGGGCACTTGAGGACCAAATGGCTTTGCCTGTTATTTTAGAAGCAGATTCGCCAGGAGATGGTTTGCTGGATGTGATGTGGGAGTATAAGTGGGAGAACACAGGGGATGCTGAGCTGTACGGGCCCTTTACCAGCACCCAGATGCAGGTAAACCCCTTTCTGCTGCTTCTCTCCCCTCTTACCTCCCCATGCCATTAGTCCTCTTCTAGTTCTGCTCTCTCTTCCTGCAGACCTGGGTGAATGAAGGCTACTTCCCGGATGGTGTTTATTGTCGGAAGCTGGACCCCCCTGGTGGACAGTTCTACAACTCCAAACGTATTGACTTTGACCTCTACACCTGAGCCTACTGAGGGCTCACTTAGGTGGCCCCTTCTTTCCTGGACTCTGTGAAGGAGGCTCCAGCTGCCTCAGGCAGTGAGGATATTGGGGGCAACTTTTCAGTCAATTTTCCTTTCCCAATAAAAGCCTTTAGTTGTGTGTTAGGGCCTTGGCTTTGCTGATGGCCAGAAGCCAGAGACCACAGCCCCTTTGGACTTGCCTTGGTCTTATAGTGTTTCCTCATGAAGTTCCTCTTTGACAGTTCTGGTCCCTCAAACCATCTCCTGTTTACTGTTCATAAGGGCAGAGCCAGGGCTGTCAGGTGAACAGTGGCCTCCCTTTTTGGATGCAGATCACCATCTAAAAATCTCTTTACTCGTGTGGCATTCTTTGGTATCCTCTGGGCTTCCTGTTTTGCTTTTCTTCGGTCTTTGGTCTTTAGGACCTCAGAGTCTCTCCTTGCAAACAGTGCAGGGTAGAGCCCTAGCAGCGGAGATTTTAGGTCTGATGGGCTGGGGCATCTGTTGGTTTTGAGTAGGAAGCATGGTACTCACTGGCTTCTCATTTTCTCAGGCTCCTTAGGTGAAGTACAGACTCAGTATTGACTCTTGAAGGACTCCAAGGCCACCTGGGCAAACCATCCATAGAATAGGCACAGAGAGGGACAGCACCTCACTGAAGGTTACACAGTTAATCAGAGGACTGGCCCAGACCCAATGGGCTCCCTTCCCAGACCTTTCTTGGTACTAGGTCTTTTCTACCTGGCCTTGAAGCCCTGAGCTTACATTTCCTGAGCTTCCAAAGTGTGCCTGGCACTGAACTAGTGCCTTGAGGAAACTGAGATAACTGGGCTGGTCCCCTTTCAGGAGTTCACAGTCAGGAGTGTAGGTGAAGAGGGAGATAGACAAGTATAATTGTACAGTCTGGACCTACCACTACCACCCTCCCAGCCCATCAGTATGGCTTAAAGCCTCTCCTCACTTGACCAGTTTAGATTTTTCCCTCCACTTTTTCAACTTGGCTGTCCATTGGAATCTCATAGAGAGCTGTTAAATCACTCCTCAGAGACTCCGAATGAGTTGGTTTAGGTAGTGGCCTGGCAGTTGGGTTTTTAAAAAGTTCTCAGGTCTTTCTAATGTGTGGCCAGGTGGAGAGCCATTGGATCTGACTCCCATGACAAGTTATACCTGGGGAGAGGGGCTGGTTCCTGGACTCCGCCGTGGTAGAGCTGAGCATGTGTCTGGCCAGGGCTCTGGTTGATTCTGTTAGTTACAGGAGAGCTGAGCACCAGAGCCGTGGATGCATGGGAGCTCCAGGGTGGAAGGAACCAGGACTGGAACTAGGAAAGACTTGGGCGGGGATGGGGTGGGGTTACCTGATGTAAGTGAGGCCTCCAACTTCTGTAATAATGAGACCCACTCTTAAGTGCCAGGCCACGCCAGGTTTTCATTGACTCCAAAATACCTTTGGTTGTAAGATGGCTTTATGTCAATAAGAAGGGAAACCCTACCAATTATGTTTGTAAGATGTCATTGATTAAAAGGTACATCCTGATTTCAGAAGTGAAAAGCAGGTGTCTTAAGACCAATGAAATGCAGTGTTCACGTTCGTATCCTTAGTGATTAGTGTTTGGTGAATAGGTAGGAGCACAGGAGGTGACTCCCCTGGATGTCATCCCACAGGTCCCTCAGGCTCTCCCTGTCGCAAACGGACCTCTTACCCTCACAACCTCTTCCTGTATTAAGCTCCCCGATGATAGCCTGTGTGGACAGAATGATGCCCCTCACAAAGAATTTCACATCCTCAACCTCAGAACCTGTGATACATGACCTTATATGGCAAAAGGGACTTTGCAGATGTGATTAATAATTTTGAGATGGGGAGATTATTCTGGATAATTGAGGTAGGCCCAATGTAATCACAAGGGTCTTAGGAAGTGAAAGAAGTCGGGACGGTCAAAGTGAGAAAGGGAGGCAAAAATATTACACTGTTTCTGGCTTTGAAGGTGGATGAGTCATGTGCCAAAGAATGCAGTAGTCTGGAAAAGCTGGAAAAGGCAAGAAAATGGATTCTTCCCACAATCTCCACAAAAAAATGCAGCCCCACTGACAGGATTTTAGCCCAGTGAAAACCATTTTGGATTTCTGATGCTAGAAGTTTGTGGTCATTTGTTATAGCCCCAGTAGGAAACTAATACCCCATCCAGCTGAACGCCTCTTCCCCTCATGGATATCACTAAGTTCTCTCTGTGGCCATGTCCCTCTTTTAAGCACCTATCAGCACTTAACTCCCTTGCTTTAAAAAAAACAAGACTTTGTATGTGCATGTTTAAATTTTTATTTAAGCCTTTTCTATTTTACAATAGTTTAGTAGATTCACAAGAAATTTACAAAAATAGCACAGAAAGTTCATTCATTTCCTCCTATTAACATTTTTCGGTGGCACATTTGTCACAACTAATGAACCAACAGTGTTACTTATATATTTTTAACAAATTTATTGAGACATTCACCCATGTAAAGTATACAATTCAATGGTTTTTAGTATCTTCATAGGGTTGTGCAATTATCACTACAATCTAATTTTAGAACATTTTTGCCTAGCCTAAAAGCAACCCCACCCATTACCACTCCCTCCCCATCACTCCTCATTATGCCTTCACCTTCCAATCTCTGCAACCACTTATCTACTTCCTGTCTCTGTAGATTTGCCTATTCTGGACATTTCATACAAATCTTACAATATGTGGTTTTTTGTGTCGTGTCAGCTTCTTCTGTTTAGCATGTATTTAAGATTCTTCCTTGTAACATTCTTTTTTATTGCTGAATAGTATTCCATTGTATGGATGTATGGCATATTACTATTAGCTAAACCTCACACTTTATTTGGGTTTTACTAATTTTTCCTTTATGTCCTTTTTCTGTTTCAGAATCCCTTCTAGGATACCCCATTACATTTAGTTGCCATGCCTCTTTAGTTTCCTCTGGTCTGACAGTTTCTCAGACTTGTTTTTGCTGACCTTGATAGTTTTGAGGAGTATTGATTAGGTATTTTGTAATATATTCCTAACATTTGACTTGTCTGGTATTTTTCTCATGACTAGATTTGGGTGATGGGTTTTGGGGAAGAAGACCACAGAGGTGAAGTTCCTTGCTGTTTATTGAAAACCTGTAATGGCTCTACATTGCCCTCAAGAGAAAGTTCACAAGCTTGAAGCTGACTGAGAAGGTCTCCCATAGCCTGGCTGGAGCCAGTCTCTCCAGCTCCACATCTGCCTTTGTTTTCTTTCTCCCTTCTCTCCCCTGGCTAGGCTCTAGCCTTCCCCCAGAACAGGGCAGATAATTTCATCTCTCCAGGCTGGGCCTGTTGCAGGAAGCGACACCCGATGGAGGAATTCAGACGCTCGGACAACTTTGTTTAGAGGAAGGAGAATTTATTAGGCCGGGGGAGCATGTGGAGTTAACAACTCCATGCACAAGCTCACTCTAGTTGGATTTATTACAGCTTATATACTTTTGAAGTATCTATGCAAGGGGGATGTGATTCCTTTGAGGTTTTACATGTCCTTCCTTACTCAGACTGGGGAGGGGGAGCTTCGGGTGGGGGTGCTGCAGGGGAGGAATTTCTAGACCCCTGGTCTTACAGGTCGTTTGTCTTGTAGAGTCTTGTAGGGACCTTGGTGCTATCAGCTCTTACCAGATTCTTGAACAGAGAGACAAGACTGGGACTCCTAGCTTACAGAGAGGAGCACTCGTTGATGTCGCACCCACTCAGCAGGTTCCTTAACCGGAGGCTGAGCTCTAACTGTAACGCAACAAACAGTTCCACACAGTCTTGACATTCATACACAGCTACAGAGATAAGGAAGGGGCTGGAGAATCCTGGAAGTGGGGGATGCAACTGTGGAAAACGTGTTAACTGAAGAGCATAGGGCAGAATGGGGGAAGAGAGAGCAGTTTTAACCAGCTGAGTGGGTTATTGTTGCAGGCCCTTTCCTTTGCATTTTTTTTAGATGCCTCCTCTCTTCTCTCAGGCCAGTGATACCTTTCTCTCTCTTCTGACTGGGGAAGACCAGTTACTATGTCTATTGTGTCTTAGCTCTGGACCTCTTCCTAAAGGCTCCCTAACCCCTACTCCCTACTCCTCAGGTTGCTTGTGGTTTCTCCCACTGCGCCCAACAGCACAGATGTCTGATGCAACACCTAGAGCGGTTTGTCCTGGTCTGTCTCCACCAGTTAACCTGAAATGGGATCAGTGGTGATGAATGAGTGGAAAATGAGCCAATTCTTTCCCAGTCCTGTGTATCAGTGGGACAACGTCCTCCTGAGCCAGGCCAGAGAGTGGGGCCTGTGGGGCTATTTGTCTATGCTGCCCCAGAAGAGATGAGGTGTGACCTAGATGAGCAGTGTACAGTCACTTTAGATCCAAGAGTCTCTCGGGGCAGAGCAGAGGAGACATTAGAGTCATTCTAACTCCTGGGGTTATCACTTAGTCATGGGAAAATTTACAGGAGGAGTTCAAGATCAAAGCTGCATCCAGGATACCAAACCCTCCGAAATGCAGCCTCTTGCCTTTGGAAGGCTATTTTCCAGGAGAGTAGCAGAAGTGGAGGAAGATGAGTCTGGACATTGCTGATTGAGAGCTGGGATATCACCCTTCCCTGGGCATCTGGTGGATCCCAGGGGAGATAGAGACTGGAGGAGGCCCCAAAGGAGCTAAGATTAATGAATGATCAGGCTCCACAAAGCCTGAGGAGTTGGGATTCTGAATGCCTTTGACACATATGCCACCCCTTCCAGCCCCACTGGCTGACTTGATGCCTCATTGCACAGCCATTGAAACCCAGGCTCCCAGCCAGAACCCAGTTGGAGCCCTAGAAATGCCCAGCTCTTCCTGATGCTGAGACCCAAGAGGAATTTCTCCATCACTTCTTCCAGGAAGACTTTCCTGACCCCCAGATTTAAGTAGGGACCCCTCTTATGTAGTCTCATAAGTCCTTGTGGTTTCCCTTTGTAACTTTTATCAATGGCTCCAGTAGGTTCCATGGGAGCTGGCACCATGGGGAGCCCGTGTATTCTCAGCACTGAGTGCCATGCCATGCCATAGTAGATATGCAGTAAATATTTGTTGAAAAGGGTTTAAAAGGGTGGTTTGAGATGGAAGCCAGGCCTGCTTAGAGCCCCCTAGTCTCAGCATGTAATGACACAAGGGAGGAAATTGAGAACTGGGGTCCAAAGAGACCATGACAAACAGAATTGGCATACAAGGGGTTTCAACAAGACGACTCCTGTTCCAACTGCCATGAGCTCTGAACCCAGCCCAAGTTGCTTTTTCTTCTTTATACCCCTTATCCCATGCTCCAGCCCAGTCAGCCCTGGCCCTTTTGTTCAAGGTGTTCCCTCCTCCTAGAACACTCACTCTAGACTCCTCCACAGATCCCTCCCACGTCCCTTCCTGTTCTCCTCCTTTGAGGATCTATTTGACCCTTTCTTAGGCTCATGGAACACTGTTTTTGTCTCCCACTGGAAATGGGGCAGACTACTGACACGCTAGGTTACTTTCGTGAAAGTGTCTTTCCTGAGTAAACAGGCCTCCGAACTCAGGGGGTTGATACGAAATAACTTCTTAAAGTAGTTGTTTTCAGTAGCAAAGCCCACTTTTATAAAGTCTTTTTTTTTTTCAATTATTTTTTATCTTTCTATCAAAATAATAATGCACAGTTTTAAAAATTCAAATAGCATTGCAAGGCATAAGCAAATGAAAAATAGCAATGCCTTGTACTCTCTCCTACAAATCTTACTCCTGTACAACTGTCCTAAATTCCTTTAGCTTGTTTCTACTGATATTTACCTCCATGTTTCTTTTTTTAATTTGTTTTTTCTTTTTTATTATTATTTATGCCTGGTCTTCTTAGGTGGCCTCCCATCCAAGTACTAACCAGGCCCGACCCATCTTAGCTTCCAAGGTCAGACATCAGGCTTGTTCAGGGTGATACGGCTATAGACCATGGACCATGGCTCCACTGGGGTACAAACCAGGACCTTCTGCATGTCAAGTAGACGTGCTAACCACTACACTATGGAACCACGTCCAGCCATGTTTCTAATAGCATACTGCTTTATAAAATTTTATCACATTTAGATATTATGTCTTTTTTAATAAAAACTTTATTAAGATATAATTCACATACCATACAATTCACACATCCAAGGTGTACAATTTAACGAATTTTTTATATATTCACAGAGCTGGACAGCAGCACCCCAATCCATTTTAGAACATTTGCATCACCTCAAGAAGAAACCCTGTACCTCATTTCTCCCCTACCTTCCCAGCCTCTGGCAACCACAGTCTACTTCCGGATTTGCCTTTTTATGAAGTTGCCTTTTTTAGACATTTCAAATGAATGGAATTATACAATATGTGGTCCTTTGTGCCTGGCTTTCACTTGCCATAATGTTTTTGAGGTTCGTCAATGTTGTAGCATGAGTACACTACTTCATTCCTTTTTAAAGCTGAATAATATTCCATTGTATGGATATACTACATTGTTGATCCATTCATCAATTGATGGAATCTAGTTTTTTTCCGGTTTTTGGCAATTATGAATAATGCTTCGTGAACAAGTTTTTGCATGTGTATGTTTTTATGTTTTCAATTCTCTTGGGTATATACCTAAGAGTGGAATTGTTGGGTCATATACTTATGCCCATGTGGTTTAAAACATTTAGTATTTTGAAGTGCCAAACTTTTCCAAAGTGGCTGCACCATTACCTGTTCCCATGTTCAGTAAATGAGGGTTAAACATTGTGTCTTGAATGCCTGTTAGAATAGTTAAGGATCAATGACAGTTTAAGCTGGATTCCCAATTATGTAAACCATATAAAAGAGGTTCCGATTGATATGGGGGCATGTTCTAGTTAATTCCAGCAGGAAGCAATCCAACTCAGATGGTTTTAGAGCACTGTTGTCCAACAGAACCTTCTATGATGATTGAAATTCCTATATTTGAACTGTTCAAGATGGTAGCCACTAGCTACATTGGCTACCGAACACTTGAAATGTGGCTAGTGGAATGGAGGGACTGCATTTTAAATTGTATTAATTTTCATTTAGATTCAAACATCACATGTGGCTAGAGGTTGTCATATTGGACAGCACAGTTTTAGAGGCTTTAATATAGGGACTACCTGTAGAGAGATGGGTATGGTTAAAAGAACCTACAAGGAATGTTGAAGCGTGCAGAGGCTAGAAACAATGGGGAGCTGTTACTATCTCTAGGACTTAAGGGGAAGGGAAGAAATTGTGTCACTGAAACTTAGTTATAGCTGGAGACAGGAATGTAAAATTCCGATCATCAATTTCAGTGTGTGTGTGTATGTGTGCGTGTGTGCGTTTTTGTGTGTGTATATGTAGTCTTGGGAGCTCTGTGCCAGAAATGAGGACAAAGACCAAATATAGATTTCTTGTTATAAATCACAGTATCACAGTATCACAGTGGACCACCTGACAGATGGTACAGACATAGGTAGAGAGATGAAGCCACTGTGAGAGACATGACCCAGAGCAGGAAGGGAGCAGGGAAGAAATGTTCTGACTCTTTTCTCTTCCTCTGATCTCCAGTCCATCCTACCTTTAGCTGAACCTGAGTGGAAGCCAGAGGGCAAGGGAGCCTCCACGGCAGAGAGCGGGACAGAGGATGGATTTGGGGGATGGGGCAGATGACAACCAGCCCAGGGCGACAAGCCCCAAAGCACCACCTCTAACCCCCAGAGCTCCGAGGAACTCTGTCTGAAAACCACTTCCCAGGTGGAACATGTCAAACTGAACAGATACCTGGGACAGGACATGTGAGGACCCCTGGAAGTCATATAGCTTCTGAGGGAGCTTTGCTGAGATTCTTAATGGCTGAGGCAGAAGAAAGAAATTAATCTCTGGGTCAGGGCTGAGAGCTGGGTAATTTCACTGATGTTTTCTTGTTTAACCTTGTAATAGCCCTGGAGAGAGGCGCACCATTACCTTCAATTTAAGGCAAGCAGTTGGAGACACCTGTCTTGACATTTTTCCAGTCTGGAG